TGATACGTACCCCATGTGGGTACTTCGATATTAAACTGATTTTTGCAACTAGGTGAGATGTTAGGTGCTTGCACCGCTCTTGCCACGAGTTGGCCTGGTATTGCAGTACCTCCAGGATCGGCTCACTCCCCCATTTGGGGGAGAAAAAATCAAATAGAAAAATAGATTCCCCTCTTTACACCATCAAACAGCCTGAATTAGATATTCTGTAATGCTTTTCACTGCACATATGTACTCTTTCTGTATTTTTTTCTTTGATTTTTATGCTATGAATTTGCGTAAAATGTATAGTGTTACACATTGTTGTAAATTAATTCTACCACACGTGCATGTTAAATATTAAGTAACATTTTTTTACGTCTGTTCGCTTAAAAATATTTGATTTTTGATTTTCTATAGTGTAATACTTTTGTTGTCGCTTGTGAATACAAATAAAACAGTACATGCGAGTCGAATTATATTCTCGCTCCTTAAAAGAAAAATCTAAATTTTTAGCGTTACGAAAAAGCGTCGGAAAAGAATTCCGTCCTCCTTCTATTGTCAATTATTGCTATAGCGACGTAGCCTGAGAACGAGGGCAGACGATGGAAACTTCAGTTGGCCGGTAAGTTTTTTCTTCTTTCCAAAATATATTCAAACATAGCTATACCGGTCAATTCCTAAATATTTAAAAACATGTGTACTTTAATGTTTGTGTCAATCAAATGAGACAGTCAAAAGTCCGTGCTATTTGTGAAAAGCGTGGAATTTATTTATGATCAAAGAAATTTCTCGAAAAACTACGTTCATCGGACCTAAGGGAAATCGATATGAAAATGTAATTTGGTTCGACATAGAGAAAATACGTATGATATACGTTTATAATATTATTACCGCTTTTATTCCGACTTGCCGTATTTCACAAGCCGTTTTTTATTTTCACGCCAGTTTTGTCAAGCAAAAATCGTTTCGTACTGCCAGGTGTTTGATTCAAAGCAAGCTTTCGTGTTTCGTGTGATTTTTGTATAGAAATTTGCAAAATTTGTGTTCATTTTGTTAGAATTAGAACACCTTGTTCGAGTAAGAAATAGGAATTATAGACTTTGCAAACTCGGAAAGTTTGGAGTATCGCTTCTCGGCCTTTTGGCTAAGATCAAAGTGTAGTATCTGTTCTTATCAGCTTAATATCTGATACGTACCCCATGTGGGTACTTCGATATTAAACTGATTTTTGCAACTAGGTGAGATGTTAGGTGCTTGCACCGCTCTTGCCACGAGTTGGCCTGGTATTGCAGTACCTCCAGGATCGGCTCACTCCCCCATTTGGGGGAGAAAAAATCAAATAGAAAAATAGATTCCCCTCTTTACACCATCAAACAGCCTGAATTAGATATTCTGTAATGCTTTTCACTGCACATATGTACTCTTTCTGTATTTTTTTCTTTGATTTTTATGCTATGAATTTGCGTAAAATGTATAGTGTTACACATTGTTGTAAATTAATTCTACCACACGTGCATGTTAAATATTAAGTAACATTTTTTTACGTCTGTTCGCTTAAAAATATTTGATTTTTGATTTTCTATAGTGTAATACTTTTGTTGTCGCTTGTGAATACAAATAAAACAGTACATGCGAGTCGAATTATATTCTCGCTCCTTAAAAGAAAAATCTAAATTTTTAGCGTTACGAAAAAGCGTCGGAAAAGAATTCCGTCCTCCTTCTATTGTCAATTATTGCTATAGCGACGTAGCCTGAGAACGAGGGCAGACGATGGAAACTTCAGTTGGCCGGTAAGTTTTTTCTTCTTTCCAAAATATATTCAAACATAGCTATACCGGTCAATTCCTAAATATTTAAAAACATGTGTACTTTAATGTTTGTGTCAATCAAATGAGACAGTCAAAAGTCCGTGCTATTTGTGAAAAGCGTGGAATTTATTTATGATCAAAGAAATTTCTCGAAAAACTACGTTCATCGGACCTAAGGGAAATCGATATGAAAATGTAATTTGGTTCGACATAGAGAAAATACGTATGATATACGTTTATAATATTATTACCGCTTTTATTCCGACTTGCCGTATTTCACAAGCCGTTTTTTATTTTCACGCCAGTTTTGTCAAGCAAAAATCGTTTCGTACTGCCAGGTGTTTGATTCAAAGCAAGCTTTCGTGTTTCGTGTGATTTTTGTATAGAAATTTGCAAAATTTGTGTTCATTTTGTTAGAATTAGAACACCTTGTTCGAGTAAGAAATAGGAATTATAGACTTTGCAAACTCGGAAAGTTTGGAGTATCGCTTCTCGGCCTTTTGGCTAAGATCAAAGTGTAGTATCTGTTCTTATCAGCTTAATATCTGATACGTACCCCATGTGGGTACTTCGATATTAAACTGATTTTTGCAACTAGGTGAGATGTTAGGTGCTTGCACCGCTCTTGCCACGAGTTGGCCTGGTATTGCAGTACCTCCAGGATCGGCTCACTCCCCCATTTGGGGGAGAAAAAATCAAATAGAAAAATAGATTCCCCTCTTTACACCATCAAACAGCCTGAATTAGATATTCTGTAATGCTTTTCACTGCACATATGTACTCTTTCTGTATTTTTTTCTTTGATTTTTATGCTATGAATTTGCGTAAAATGTATAGTGTTACACATTGTTGTAAATTAATTCTACCACACGTGCATGTTAAATATTAAGTAACATTTTTTTACGTCTGTTCGCTTAAAAATATTTGATTTTTGATTTTCTATAGTGTAATACTTTTGTTGTCGCTTGTGAATACAAATAAAACAGTACATGCGAGTCGAATTATATTCTCGCTCCTTAAAAGAAAAATCTAAATTTTTAGCGTTACGAAAAAGCGTCGGAAAAGAATTCCGTCCTCCTTCTATTGTCAATTATTGCTATAGCGACGTAGCCTGAGAACGAGGGCAGACGATGGAAACTTCAGTTGGCCGGTAAGTTTTTTCTTCTTTCCAAAATATATTCAAACATAGCTATACCGGTCAATTCCTAAATATTTAAAAACATGTGTACTTTAATGTTTGTGTCAATCAAATGAGACAGTCAAAAGTCCGTGCTATTTGTGAAAAGCGTGGAATTTATTTATGATCAAAGAAATTTCTCGAAAAACTACGTTCATCGGACCTAAGGGAAATCGATATGAAAATGTAATTTGGTTCGACATAGAGAAAATACGTATGATATACGTTTATAATATTATTACCGCTTTTATTCCGACTTGCCGTATTTCACAAGCCGTTTTTTATTTTCACGCCAGTTTTGTCAAGCAAAAATCGTTTCGTACTGCCAGGTGTTTGATTCAAAGCAAGCTTTCGTGTTTCGTGTGATTTTTGTATAGAAATTTGCAAAATTTGTGTTCATTTTGTTAGAATTAGAACACCTTGTTCGAGTAAGAAATAGGAATTATAGACTTTGCAAACTCGGAAAGTTTGGAGTATCGCTTCTCGGCCTTTTGGCTAAGATCAAAGTGTAGTATCTGTTCTTATCAGCTTAATATCTGATACGTACCCCATGTGGGTACTTCGATATTAAACTGATTTTTGCAACTAGGTGAGATGTTAGGTGCTTGCACCGCTCTTGCCACGAGTTGGCCTGGTATTGCAGTACCTCCAGGATCGGCTCACTCCCCCATTTGGGGGAGAAAAAATCAAATAGAAAAATAGATTCCCCTCTTTACACCATCAAACAGCCTGAATTAGATATTCTGTAATGCTTTTCACTGCACATATGTACTCTTTCTGTATTTTTTTCTTTGATTTTTATGCTATGAATTTGCGTAAAATGTATAGTGTTACACATTGTTGTAAATTAATTCTACCACACGTGCATGTTAAATATTAAGTAACATTTTTTTACGTCTGTTCGCTTAAAAATATTTGATTTTTGATTTTCTATAGTGTAATACTTTTGTTGTCGCTTGTGAATACAAATAAAACAGTACATGCGAGTCGAATTATATTCTCGCTCCTTAAAAGAAAAATCTAAATTTTTAGCGTTACGAAAAAGCGTCGGAAAAGAATTCCGTCCTCCTTCTATTGTCAATTATTGCTATAGCGACGTAGCCTGAGAACGAGGGCAGACGATGGAAACTTCAGTTGGCCGGTAAGTTTTTTCTTCTTTCCAAAATATATTCAAACATAGCTATACCGGTCAATTCCTAAATATTTAAAAACATGTGTACTTTAATGTTTGTGTCAATCAAATGAGACAGTCAAAAGTCCGTGCTATTTGTGAAAAGCGTGGAATTTATTTATGATCAAAGAAATTTC